AGAGTTTTAAAGTTTCAGTTTTACATTTATATCTAATATCCATTTTGAGTTAATTTTAGTACATAGTGTGATATGGAGGTATAATTTCACTCTTTTGCATGGTAATATTCAGTTTTTTCAGAACCATTTGTTGAAAAGGCTATTCATCACTGAAGTGTTGGCATGCTCATTGAAAGTCAATTGACCATAAAGTGTAGGGTTTACTTCCGGATTCTAAACTCTATTCTATTGATCTATGTTAATCCTTATGACAGTTCCCTACTGTCTTGATTACTTTAGCTTTGTAGAATATTTTAAATTAAGAAGTGTCTTTGCTCAAGATTGCCTTGTCTATTCTGGGTCCATCTGAATTTTGGGACAGCTTGTCAATATATTTGGGTGATATTTTACCACAAGGAATTCTGAACTGTCTGGAAAGGGATTTGACATTTTTTCCTCTCCTGTCCCTCATATTGGATTTGGTAGCCTCCAACCTGGTTAAGGGCAAGGTCATTTAAGTTGTCTCCTAGTTTTTTTTTTTTTTTTTCGGTACTGGGGATTCAATGCAGGAACACTTTACCTCTGAGCTACATCCACAGCCCTTTATTTTTTATTTTGAGACAGGGTTTTGCTAAGTTACCTAAGGCCTATTTAAGTTGCTAAGGCTGGCCTTGAACTTCAATCTTTCTGCCTCAGCCTTTAGAGTCACTGGGGTTGCAGGCATGCGCCACCACACTTGGCAAGAAATCCTAGTTTCTTGAAGTATTTCAGAACATTAAATATGAACAGCTCAAAATTATATGCAGTAGAAATTCTCCTAAGAATGCGTCATTTATTAGGATTGCCAGATTAATTTATGGTCTCCATTTCCTCTGAAAACATTTTAAAGATACCTGTAATACTCCCTTTGTAGCTGAGAGCTATATCTAGAATACCTGCATTCTTCTGCTCCCACAGTTGAACTTCAAGCTTATCAAGAGTCTGTTGTGACCCCCTTCCAAAAAACCCCAATTTACTCAGGTTAACTTTGTGATTGTCATTTTAAATTTAGTGAAATATTATTTAAACTAATAAAAAGTGTAAAAAAAAAGAGCAGGTGTTTCTACAAAAACCAAATTGAATGTTCTAGAAAAGTTCAATGAAGGGGCTGGGGTTGTGGCTCAGTGGTAGAGCGCTCGCCTAGCATGTGCGAGACCCTAGGTTCGATCCTCAGCACCACATAAAAATAAAGTAAAGGTATTGTGTCCAACTACAACTAAAACATAAATATATTAAAAAATTTCAATTAAGGTAGGTCACTTAAAACATTGCTGTAGCCAGGAACGGTGACAATGCTTGGGAGGCTGAGACAGGAGGATTCGAATTTCGAGGCCAGCCTTGGCAACATAGTGAGACTCTGTCTCAAAATAAAAAATAAAAAGAAGTGGTAGAGTGCCATTGGGTTCTATCCTCCCAACCCCTCCCACACAGCCCAAAACACACAAACACAACATAACCAAACCAAACAAAACAAAAACCACATTCCTGTAAATTTTGAGTTGAAGTCTACTACAGGGGCTGGGGATGTGGCTGAAGCGGTAGCGTGCTCGCCTGACATGCGTGTGGCCCAGGTTTGATCCTCAGCACCACATACAAACAAAGATGTTGTGTCTGCCGAAAACTAAAATAAATAAATAAATAATATTAAAATTCTCTCTCTCTTTAAAAAAAAAAAAAAGTCTACTACAATTAGAAAAATCACCATTTTACCACTATCATAGAAATAATTAATTCACACAGAACCATTAATGGATACTAAAACTAGTGGGTGAAAGTATGATGAATAATAGGATATTTACATTTTTTCAAAGTATCAGAAATTATTAATTACAAAAGTAAAATGGTAACTCAACAGTGGAGAAAACTGGCAAATCACTTTAAGTGGTCAAAGTTAACATCATCAGTAATGGGCTAAAAATAACACAATAAGCCCTTATATGGTGTACTGAGCACACAATGTCACTTATTCCTGCAAAAATGCTTAAACCAGATCTAATCATGCGAAACATCAGACAAACCAAAATTAAGGAATATTCCACAAAATGTCTCGTCTGTGCTATTACAAAAATGTCAGTGTCATGAAACAACGAGAAACTGTTCCAGATTAAAGGAGACTGAAGAGACAAGCTCACTAAATTCAACAATTTATCAACACATGAACCTTTCCTACATCATGGAAGGAAAAAATGTGCTCTAAATGATATTAACAGAACAATTGGCAAAAATTGGAATATGGACTATCTAGTTAGATAATATTGTATCTATGTTAAGATTTGCTGAATTGAAACCTGTACTGTGTATAAGTTGTTGTTCTTAGGAAATCAAACAGAAATATTTAGTAGTAAAGGGTTATGAGCAACTTATTCTCAATTAGCTGAGAAAGATATTAGATAAATAGATAAGAGACAAGACAAAGAAAGTGGCTTGTGTGGGTATGTGTATGTGTGTGTGTGTGTGTGTGTACGTGTGCATGTGTATGTGGTGCTGGGGATTGAACTTGGGTCATGCATGTGCTAGACAAGTGTTCCAACACTGAACTATATCCCAGACTCAAGAGTGGAAAAATATTACTAATTGGCTAATTTGCTTAAAAGGTGTAGGGAATCTCCTTATATTAGCCTTACATCACAACTTTTCTATAATTTTGACATTATATCATTAAAAAATTCTGAAAAATGGTGGACTGACCATATGAGATTTTTCCTTTCCATTTCAAATTTACTAAAATGACATCATATCCTCCTCCTCCTCCTCCTGATGGCATTAACCTTCAAGGATGATATAAAAAGATCCTGTCACAAAATAAAAAATAAAAAGGCTAGGGATGCAGCTTAGTGGAAAAGCACCCTGGGTTCAATTCCAAGTTTAAATTAAAAAAAGATAAAAATAAATCTAAACCAGTCAGGACTCATAAATATGCCTCTTACATATGTAGTAAATAGTTGTTTATCATTAAATACTTGAATCAATAAAAGTATTGATAATTAGAAATTATCAAGTGAAAATCTTCTGTCCTTTTATTTTTTTCAGTACTAGGGATTGAACTCATGGGTACTCTACCCTGAGCTACATCTCCAGACCTTTTTACTTTTTAATTTTGAGAGAGGGTTTTGCTAAGTTGCTGAGGTTGGCCTTGAACTTGTGATCATTTTGCATCAGCCTCCTGTGTAGCTGGGATTACAGCTGTGTGCCACCGTGCCTAACCCTCTGGAAGGGAAATAAGCAGGGAGTAGGAATAGCAAATTTGATGTACTGTCCCTTTAACTTCACATTCTATGTAGGCCACCAATTTGACCAAGGCTCCTGTCTCTGATGCTCCAACAACAGAATGAAAAAACTTGAGTAAGCAGGTGATATCAGGATACTTCCCTATCATCTTATAGAGGACTTTATAAAGTGAAGTCTTCCTCTCTGCCTCACCTACAAAGAAATTAATTCAAAGGCCCAGACTTCAGTGAGCTTTTATGTTTTTGTTTTGGATGCTAGGGATTGAACCCAGGGCCTTGCACATGCTAGGCAAGTGTTGTACCACCAAGCAACACCCTCAGCCCTTACCAGTGTTTAAGTGATTTACAGGGTAGGAAAATCCCAGTTTGTTTATGGTGATGCAGGCCCATCTAGTAAAAGTAGTAGGGTTACAGCAGCCAGGAGAGGGTGGAGCAAGGGAAATTGGTCTGTTTCCCAAAGGGGAGTGTTTGATTTCTGAGAGAGGTCCAGAAGAGCACCTCTTTATTTGAAAACAGCCCCATGGTGTAATGCTGGGACCCATAAGGAATGGGGGCAAGAAGAGTGGAAAGGGTTGGAATAGGGTTATTAAGGGATTTCTAGGGTCCATCACTGGGATCTTTGTATAAATCTTACCTGGAAGGTGAATAGTAGAATAGAACTTTGGTGGAATTAGAAAGAGGTCAGAGAGTGCCTATTGGAGGACTGTTTAATATATAGATTGTCCTTTATAATCTTTGTGCTTTTATACTTTCCTGATCACCTCTTCTCCTACCCAGTACAGCTTTTGCTTAGCATCCATCTACACTTATTTTCATTCACATGGTCCCATTCTACCTGGAAGATCCTTTTCCTCAGTTTCTGTGCTTTTGGACAATTCATCATTTAAGACCTAAATAAATTCTCATATCTCCTGCAAAGTCTCCCCTAACTTCCTATTTTTATAGTCATTCAAAATCATTTATTCATTCACCCCATAAATATTTATTAAACCTCTATTATGTATGAGGAACAGCTAGGCATCGTGAGTACAATACAGATCTAATATTTACTAAGTTCAGCATTCCCCTATAAAGTTAAAATGCTTAGCATGGTTAACAGCATCTTCAATTATCTGGCCTATAACTAGTTTTCAAGGTCTGCCTCCTAGCACCTCTCCATTTTACCCTTCATCTGTATCTAAGTGCTTGGAATTCACTTAATATGGTTCTCTAGGTCTCTGTTCTTCTGTCTGTACTATATTCCCTTCTTGTTTACTTGAGGAACTTTAGTCATCCTTTTAACACTCAGTTTAGAAGCATTTCCTCTGTGACGTCTTCTTTAAAGGATCCCCATATTCTTATTCCAAACCCAAAAGTATAAGGCACTTCCTCCTTTGCAGTCGCATAAGTCCATATTTAATCATATATTATTTTTTGTTTGCATACTTATCTTCCTAATTAGATAGTAGAAGCCTTCTTTATTCATCTTTTAACCCTGGTCAGCAACATAAAGCCTGGCACACAACTGTGTGCTTAATATATGTTGGCTAAATGAGCAAATGAATGAATAAGAATACATTTATTTGCTATTAAATGACAGAAAAATGAAGGTAATGGATGTCCTTGCTCCAAAATTTTAATTAGGGCAAGTGTTGACCTTGTTGATAGGATAAATCTCTAACTAAAGGTAGGAAAGGAAGTAGCTACAAACTGACCAGTGGAAGTGGCTAGGAAAACAAGTGGCCCTTCTAACCCTCTATTCTACATTACCCTTACTTGTTTCTTCAGTTATGTCTCTTTTTTTGTTCCGAAAGGGATGTTGATATCCCAATAGATATAAGTTGAAGAAGGCCATCTTGGTTCCTCCTTGTCCTCTTCTGGAATGTCCAGCCTGGAGCACTGTTTGGTAACCATAGCAATGTCCTGAAGAATTATTGTAATTGACACTTCCTTTGTCTAATCAGGCACAGAATTCCTGGGTTCACAGTAGAGTTGGAGGAAAATGGAAGAACCAAAGAGTCAATATCCTTTTCTTTGTCCTAGTCTCATACTGTAAGCCTCAGAAAGCAGTGAATAGAAAGAACAATAACTTGGGTTCAAATGTTAGTTTTGTCATACTCTAAGTGTCTGCCTTTGTATAGATTAATCAAGCCTCAGTTTTTAATTTTAAAAAATGGCAATGATGATATCAGTTATAAAAATGAAATGATATATACAAACTCCTTACCACAAGGTTCAGCATGTAATAGAAACTTAACAGAGAGTATTTAAATCTAAATATGATATTTCCAATGAATCTTTATTTTATCAGTGGTGTGTCAGCTGATGCTGACTTTCAAGAGCTTGTCAAATTTTCATTAATTTTGCAAGCTTTTTAAAAATGTCATTATTAAAAAATTGAATGATCTAAACTTAAAATTTAATGTTATATTAAAAAGTAAAGGTAGCAAATATTAAAAACATCATTTTCTAATTGTTTTACTATTATCTATAATCATGAGTTTATTTACTTTTATTGTATCTATATATTCTGCTTTTTTTTTTTCATACTTTATTCTCTTTGTTTTTCAGCTTAGGAAGTTTCTATTGACATATTTTCAAGCCAACTGATTCTTTCTGTGTCATCTCCAGTCTATTGATGAATCCACCAAAGACATTGTTTTCTGTTGATTTCTAGCCTTTTCTTTTCTTTCTTTATCCTTTTCCTTTTATTTTATTTTATTTTATTTTTGCAGTACTGGGAATTGAATCTACGACTGTTCTATATCCTGAGTCCTTTTGTTTTATTTTTGAGACAGGGTTTTGCTAAATTGCCCAGGTTGGTTTTGAACTTGCCATCCTCACGCATGTCTTCTAACAACTGGTATTACAGGTGTGTGTCACCATGCCCAGCTTGATTCTTAGTTTTCATGTCTCTGCTAACATTACCCACCTGTTCTTGTGTGTTGTCCACTTTTTCCATTAGGGTCTTTAACATATTAATCATAGTTATTTTAAATTCTCAGTCGGATAATTCCAAAATTTCTGCCATATGTGTGTCTAGTTGTAAGGAAAATATGAAGTGAAACAGGAAGGTTATAGGAGACTGCAGTTGGGTAATTCCTTTTTCCCACATTAGATAGGATCTGGTAAAAACCCAAGTTTCTGTTAAAATTTTTTTCTTGAGAAGCATGTCTTTGTTAAGAACAGGATGCCATACTGCAAAATGACTACTTTCCCCTCTCCCTACTGGAAGCATGAAGGGATTTTTTTCTTCAGTCTTCAGTGAGACTCCAGGTAAAATGTATAAAAACATGAGTGACCACTTAAGGATGGGCCCCCAAGAGTTTTTTTTTTTTTTTTTTTAAATCTCTCAAGCTAGTCTGTGTTTAGCTGCCAGCAATTAGTCAATTATGCTATAAGTATTCCTATGAGTTACTGGTTCCCATAGTAATTTTTGCTCTTAGTAGTCATGACTTTCTGTTCTAACTTTTTTTCTGATTTCATCTGTTTTTCCATCTTGGGGGATGAGGTTTGTACTATAAAACCTTAATTCTCTAATGAGTCAAGAAGGATTGTTAAATTTGTCTTTTTTCTTGTGAGGATGGACCCGATCACTTTTATTTATTTATTTATTTATTTCAGTTACTAGGGATTGAACCCAGGGCCCAATATATGTCAGGCAAGTGCTCTACCACTGAGCTCCATCCCCAGTCTGGGAGTGATGATTTCTAAGCTCTTTCCATATCAAGACAAGAAACTAGAAAGCCTAAACTATTGAATTGGTCTCGAGGAATTACTGTGTGATGATGCATACACCTCTCTTCAATTTCATTTTCAGGGATGCTGCATACTGATAGATTGAAATCAGCCATGGTGGGAGAATATACACCACAGAAATTGACAATGTTAGATAAAGCTGGACTTATTCATTTTGTTGATGGTCTAGACTTAAGAAACCTGAGAAAGGGCTGGGGTTGTGGCTCAGCAGTAGAGCATTCGCCTAGCATGCGTGAGGCCCTGGGTTCGATCCTCAGCACCACATAAAAACAAACAAACAAATAAATAAATAAAACAAAGGTATTGTGTCCAACTACAACTAAATATTTTTAAAAAAGAAAGTTGAGAAAATGTTAATAATGTATATTAAAAGTGTATCATATCTATAGCTATTACACTGTCCAATAGCAACATTGAAACTCTTCCAGTGTTCAAAAATTATACAATTCAGCAAAGATGTTCCTCAAGTCGCTGGCAAATTAATGAAGTTCCTATACAAGTCTCATTTTCATTTCCATCTTATTCATGCAAATGGAAATAGCAGTGAATAGTCCAAAACTATACTCACTTGTTAAATGGAACTGCAGGTTGACTTGTGATTCAAGAGCTTGGCAAAACTGAAAGCATTTTGTGAGATTCAGTTGGTTATAGGAAATTTATAATAAAGATTATACATTTTATGTTAAGTTGCATACTATGTATCCTTTGTATTAGTTAAAAAAATTTTTTGGGGGTGGGGGATACTGGGGATTGAACTCAGGGGCACTCAACTACTGACCCACTTCTCCAGCCCTATTTTGTATTTTAGTTAGAGACAGGGTCTCACTGAGTTGCTTAGCACCTCGCTTTTGCTGAGGGCGGCTTTGAACTCGAGATCCTCCTGTCTCAGTGTCCCAAGCCTCTGGGATTACAGGTGTGCGCCACTGCCCCTGGCATATATTAGTAAATTTTTAAAAGAAGAAAAGAGAAATTCCTCTGGTTTAAGATTTTTATCAATTGTCCTTTAAGAGCAATGTATGGAATCCTCAGTACCACCATTAGCTAACATTATTTAGAGAATCAATATGCACTAAACACCTCCTATATGCCTGACCCACATCCTGTTGGTGTTTTTTGAAGAAACCGAGGTGACATTCCAGATCACGAGCTAGGTGAAAGAATAGCTGGGATTTTTGAAGATATTACACTAAGTAAAAAAAGCCAGTCACAAAAAAGACAAATCTGTATGATTCCACTTATATGAAGCATCCAAGTAGTTAGAGTCAAAAAGAATGAAGAATGCTAGTTGCCAGAGGCTGATAGGAAAGCAATGGGGAGCTGTGCAAGGGAGTTTCAGTTTTTTTTTTTTTTTTTGGTATTGGGGATTGAACCCAGGGGTGCTTAACCCCTGAGCCACATTCCCAGCACTTTTTTTTAAAAATATATTTTTGTTAGAGACAGGGTCTCACTGAGTTGCTAAGTGCCTTGCTAAATTGCTGAGACTGGCTTTGAACTCCTGATCCTCCTGTCTAAGCCTCCCGAGCTGCTTGGCAATTTGTTTTGCAAGATGAAAAAGTAGTTCTAGAGAGCTATTGCATGAAAGTGTGAATACAAATGAAGCTACTAAACTATACATTTACAAATAGTTGTACGAAAGATGGTAGGGATGGAGGAAAAGCTGGGATTGAATCCAAGTTTATAAAAAACTCATTCTTTTGGTAGTTATCACTACTTTTTTTTTTTTTTTTTGTCGTACTGAGGATTCCATTCAGGGACTCGAGGATGTTAGCAAGGTGTTCGAACGCTGACATACACCCTCAGCCCTTTTTGAGGCAGGGTTTCACTCAATTGCCCGTCCTGGCATCGAACTTGCCATTCTGCCTCAGCTTCCAGAGTAGCTAGGATTACAGGACTGCGCCACCGTGCCCAGAGTGTTTGCTATATGGTTTCATCTTATTGGTTCGAGATACTATAGGGCCACTATTACTTTTTTCATTTTTCTGACCTATTTTCTCTACCAAGCTCTCCATCTGCCATATTTCATATCGTCACGTTCGCCCAGAGGGAAGTTCTGGGCGTGGGGAGAGCGGCAGCAATGCTGCGGGAGAGCCTGTGCCTCTCAGCACCGAACTGTTGCCTGGCAGCTCAGCCCAGGCCGCGAAGGCTCAACCACGTTCTCGCGGGGAGAGACGTGGTTTTCACACGAGAATTTATAATTCCACCCTACCTCCGTAGCGTCACGTGATTCGCGCCTGCGTCTTCGCCTTAAGGTCTCTCCTGGTATCCGACTGGCTGTTAACTTGGCTACAGTGTGTCGCGAGGTCCATTCCGGAAGTAGACGCTTTGACTTTCGCTTCCTTAGCGGAAGCTTGTCAGACCTGGCGGTCGATTCGTAGCGGAAGTTCGTCACGTCGCAGTTGTCTCCGCACAGCGGATGTGTGTCGCCCCTGAGGTGACGCTGGGAAGTGCTTGCACCCTCCGCCGCTGCCTTCTAGTTGAAGCGCTATGGAGGGAGAGAGGAAGAACAACAACAAACGGTGGTATTTTACTCGAGAACAGCTGGAAAATAGCCCTTCCCGTCGTTTTGGCCTGGACCCAGATAAAGAACTTTCTTATCGCCAGCAGGCGGCCAATCTTCTTCAGGACATGGGACAACGTCTTAACGTGTATCCTTGTGGCCTAGGCCTTCGGCCTTGGAGTCGGTTCTGCACTGTCCCGGCATTCAGGCTTCAGGCTCTGGCGGGGAAGGAAGGGGGTAAGAAGGTCGGCAGAAGCTGGTTGTCTAGTGGGGAGAGCCCACGATGGGGCAGACCGAAGCTGTTCATGCGAGGGAAGCGAGGCGGAGTCAATTTCCCGCTCGCTCACCCGTGCCACCAACCTTGCCGGGAATTCGTATCTTTTCCTGGCTTTGTGTTTTAGCCGATCCTTTTTAGGCCTTCTTCACTGTGTTCTGACCTGGTTTCGTGACTTTGAGATTCTCCTTTCTTCTGTGTCTTAGGAGTCTGGTAGAAGTTTCACTGTTGACGTCTGCCCCCCAAACTTAGTGTGTAAAAAATAGTTTCGGGACAAAGCTGAACTAGGCAGGGTCCCATCGTTGGTTCAAAATCCGTTCCTCCTACTTCATAGCTATGCAAATAACCTGTTAAGTTCTTGGCTGTCTTGCCTGTAAAATGGACACCTCTTGCATTTGATTCTGTGCCCCCCAAA